CAGGCAAAGTGACCTTCCTCTAGGAACTCAGCTACCTTGATGTTAACACTTTGCTGAGGGCAAAAGGCAATCTTAGCCCGACCCTCCAGGACCCTGTAAGTCTACTTTAACATAGAAAAATTCCTTTGTAAACTTCCTTTATCTCTACCCCTCAAGATACATGTTGGCGATCATCCCCCAAGCATATGACCCACCGATGCACATCTGCAGGGCCTCATGACTAAGTTTTTATTAGATGGCAATAAATTATCTGTTCCCAAAATAGCTAGCCCCCTCAAAGTCCTGAAAACCTTGCTTCCAGATTCCTTACAGACTTACCCTATCCCCTCCCCACTTGGAAGTGTATAATGGGCCACTGCTCATGACCCCAGTGCAGCTCTTTCTGCCCACAGGTCCTTTCTCCATGCTTTAATAAAGTCACCTTATTGCATCAAAGATGCCTCAAGAATTCCTTCTTGGCCTTGACTTCAAACCCTAACATGCTTCCTACATCAGTAACCACGAGTGGTTCTACTTTCTATCTCTGTGATTTTGACTACTCTAAGTACTTCATATAAGTGGAATCATACAGTATTTGTCTTTTTGTGACTGGCCTATTTCACATAGTATAATGTCTGCAAGTTCATCCACCCTTGGTGTAGCTGTACCATTTTTGACAGAGCCTTGCCCAGTGTTACTAATAAATGATGGAAGATGCCTTCCACCTCATATTCCTCCTCCATGAGGGAAGGAGAGAAACTGAGGCCATGGGAGAGAAGTGTCTCGCCCAAGGACAAGAAGGCTCAGGAGAGTGGGGAAGGGTAGAGCACCAGTTCTCTGCTTCTACTTCCAACTTGTAAGGCAAAGGCCATGTCAGGAATCCAGAGAGTCCTGGATACACCATGTGACTTTGAACATGTCTCCACCTTCACAGCCTCAGTTTCCCCTAGGCTGAAATGGATATAATAAAAACTAACTTCTCTTTCTCAAAGAGTTGTTGTAAAGATCAAATGTGCCTTTTAAGTGGCTTTAGAAGTATAATGTCCTAGACGGTAGCAACATGTGGCTGCGAAGCCAGAGTGTGCTAAATGGTAATGGTGCTCATCGTCGTATTTGTGCCCCACCAGCGTAAGATCAAGACGAGCGGGCTTAGGCGGCCATGTGGGTATGAGTAAAAGGGTTGAGGAGGGGAGGCATCTGGCCAGAGCCCCCCCACACTGGAGATTGTAGCTGAATTTACTTCTCCATCCAGGAAAAACATATCTAAGGCTGGGCACTCGGGGCTTTGGGGACAGCGATGGACAAAGGCCTGACTTCACGAGTCTGCTGTCTAGAGATGGAGGCCGTCATTAAACAAGTAGTTACATAAATATGCACACGATGGCCAGAGCTGGGCAGGGTGGTGGAAGGGTGGTGCCCATGCCCGGGGACAGCGCAGCGGGAGGCCACCTTCTCCTCCCCGCGGCTCTGAGAAGGTCTTCTCAGGAGCTGGCCGTAAGCCTCAGACTGAGCAGAAAAAAAGGCCCGTGTCACTGGGGGGACAGTGAGCCAGAGCGTCCAGCTGCCAGGTGTCACGATTACAGGCCACCACGTCATTGCTGTGTATAGTTACGTCCTCTAAGGACGTGGGGGCGCCGGTGGGGTGCACTGGAGGTGCTGGGAAGCCACAGAGGGCCCCCCAGAGCCCCCAGAGGTCGCGTCCAGGAGCAGAGCCGCTGGCTGGTCAGCAAATGCTGCGGCCCCCCACGTCAAGAACATCACCTGCAGTGCTGCACTGCCGTCAGCTGCACTTAAATGCTATTTGCTCTATGTAGAGGGCTTGTCTTATTAAATATAAATCACATGATTAAACCTCGGAAATCTCCTCCCTTTCCTTCCTAGATTGGGTTGCACGTCTCCTTGGTGTAGAAAAGGAAAAGGGGGGGAGGAGGAGGAGGGCAGGAGGGCAGGCCCGTGCCTTGTCCTCCGCACCAGGGCTGGCGTGGCCGCGCAGGCCACAGGGAGGACTGCAGACCCGTGGCCCTGGCTGCTCCTCGCAGGCCACACGACCCGAGGCAGACCGTCTGGCTGCCCTGAGGCCTGGGAGACTGCACACCGTGCAGTCCGGGATGTTGGCAGTGAAAGAGCAGGAGCGAGTTGGCGACGTGGCGGTGTGCGTGCCAGCCTGTTTCTAGCACTGCCATGCGTTCCTCCGAGCTCCGGCTCTGTTTCCTAGACTTCTGACGAGCATCCTTCCCTCCCTCCCCAACTCCCTTCCTTGCTAATCGGAGTAGATTCTCATTATTTGCAAGCAGAGGAATCTCAGCGAACACCCTCCTTCACAAACTTGCTCAAGGATTAAATAAGATAAGTGTATGAGTGTTTGACATGGCACCGGGCGGGCGCAGAACTCCTGGAGGGGTATCTCCCCAGATGAGTTTAATAAACTCCTCTGATACCCTGGGGGCCGAGGTTGGTGGCAGTTGGAGGAGGTGAGGGATGGAGGGGGAACCAAGCTGTACAGGGAAAGGGTTCCTTGACTCATCTTTGGGCAGCACGGGGTACTATATCACCCTCTTGAGATTCCTGGTGATTAGCATATTCGGAACTGAAAGATCTTATTGTAAAAGAACACATTGAATTTTGCTTAACTCTGTGTTTCCCATACTCCTTTCTCCCCTGCCATGCCTAGGCAAGTGTCCCCAGGCAGTGGGACACACTGCTGTAGCCAGGGAGGACTGGCCTGGAGCACGTCTAGGGCACCTTGAAGCTCTCAATCCTGAGTTTTTATTATTATTTTTCAGTTTCTCCAAATCTTTAGTAGTGAATTCTCATGATTGATAGGCCCTTTGTTGCAATTCAGAGCTGTTTTAGCAACAGGATTAATGCCTGTGGTTAGAGATTTGTCTCCAGCTCTTATAATGAGAAACACATATTCGCACTAGGAAAACGTTGGGGGTTTAAACTTAGTAGAGAACCACTTCTGAGGGTTGGAGCTCTTTTACCCTAAAATCCCCAAATGAGAAAATCCAGAGCTTGAAAACATATAGAAAGCATCACCACCCCAGTGGCCAGCAGAAGCCCAGAGAGGGGAGACATTTTGGTCAAGGTCATAGACCTCTTTCCAATGTGCCATCCCTGGACAGCAGATGCTGACATAAATAAGTGTGTAGAGTGGACAGCATTGACCTCTTTCTGACCACTGCCGCTCTTGTAATTAAACAGAAATGTTAACATAAATCAAATGGTCTTTCCACCACCATTACCACTAACAGTGCATTCTGTCCAGGGAAGGTGGGAAGGCATTGCTCTCAGGCCTGCAGCAACCCATAAAACCTGCCAGCACTAATGAACCATTCCTTGAGCCAATTAAGAGAGGAAGCAAAACTGTCTTTAATTAAGGCATCATGCATCCCATGGGCTCTCTCTAACTGATACCCAGAGGTATTGGGAAGCCCCTCAGGACCCAGTTGCCATGCTTCTGGAGGCCAACTCTGTTTAAATGGACCTGGATGGGTATTAAAAAATATGGGTTCTAATCTGTGCCACTGACCTTATCTAAATCCTATCTCATGTGTAGGCCTTAGTTACTTTATCAATAAAGTCATCCCTTCACTCATACTCATCAATAGGTTTTTTTAAAAAAATATTTTACTTATTCATGAGAGACACAGAGAGAGGCAGAGACATAGGCAGAGGAGAAGCTCCCTGCGGGGAGCCTGATGTGGGACTTGATCCCGGGACTCTGGGATCATGTCCTGAGCTAAAGGCAGACGCTCAACCACTGAGCCACCTAGGTGCCCCCTTCAAATAGTTTTTAAGCATCTACTGTGGGCTGATCACTGCTGCCAGGCATCATGGGCACAAGGACAACGAAGGCTCAGTCCCTGCTCTCTGTGGGCTTGAAGGCCAGTGGGGTCCATGCAGTGGCATAAGTCTTGTTCAATAACCAGGCCTGTGGGAGCTTAGAGGATGAAGCAACTAATTCTGTTTGGGGGTTTGGGGTTTTCAGAAGAGACACGAGCTGTGTTGTGAAGAAGAGTTAGAAAGATAAGGAAGGGATAGCAGGTTCTAGGTACAGGGCAGCCTTGAGGAAGGTAGGAATCAGAGGCCAACAGGACATGCCTAGGGAACTAGGCTTTACCTTGAGTGGCCAGAGCAACCGTTCTAAGAGTGGAGGGTGGGAGATGAGGCAGATAGACATCAGCTCACACAGAGCCTCTCATGCAGAAGTTGGAAGGCGCTGGATGTTACTTTGAGGTTGTGGGACTAATTCACTCTAAAGATGTGCAGTGTGGACAGTGAAGATAGATAACTAGTCAGTCGTTCACTGGCTGTGCGACTTGGGGCAAGTCTGTTGCCTCAACTGTCAAATAAGAGTAATAACACTACCTCAGAGGACTCAATGTTCTATTGGCAGATGATCCACCGGGCAGTGAAATTTTAGGCTATAAATTATGGTGCTCAGCTGGGAGAAAGAGAGTTCAAGGTCTGAGGGCATGAGTGAGTACTTGAGCGAGCTTGTATGCTCACATCAGAGAGAAATGCTGCTCAGATGACCTGGGAAGCCACTCTCCTTCGTTAATGATCTCCAAGAAGAAACACAGAATCAAAACAGTAATTGCTATAACCACCATATGATACTCTGCAAAGCACATTCGTCTCCACTATTCCTTTTGATTCTCACCAGTGTCCTGTCAGGTATGTGATCATTGCCTTCATTATGCAAGAGAAACTGAGCATCAGCCTGGAAAGTGAATTCCCCGAGGTTACATGGGAAGTAGGTGCCGAAACGGATTCTAGCTCTCCTGATTCCTGGTTCAGCGAGCTGACCAGAAAATCTCAGCAAGTTACTTCAGCTGGCTGTGCATGACACATCCAAGGCTCGTTAGCCACATTCTCAATAACCAAGGGGAAACTTCCTCTAATGAACTCATGGGTAATACAAAAATTCTTTCTCAAAAATATATCCCCTTTTTCTCCTGCTTCCATCCCACCATCCCATGACTACTAGCTTCCAAGCTTTCTCCCCTGCCCCTCACCTGTAATTTCCCAGGTAGACTCCATCAGGGTTGAGCATTGGTGCAATCTTGAAGACCAGGTGTTCCCGTAGGACATGGGCAATAGGGTGCTGGCTTATGAGGAAGTCAATGATCCCTAGGGAAAGAGAAGAATCTGGGTTAACCTCAAAATGTTTCAAGAAGGAGGGAGCACAGGGATGCCTGAGTCGCTCAGCGGTTGAGCATCTGCCTTTGGCTCAGGGCGTGATCCCGGAGACCCGGGATCGAGTTCCACACCGGGCTCCCTGCAGGGAGCCTGCTTCTCCCTCTGCCTGTGTCTCTGCCTCTCTCTGTGTGTCTCTCATGAATAAATAAATAAATAATCTAAAAAAAAAAAAAGGAAAGAAAGGAGGAGGAGGGAGCACATTTTCCTCAGCTTAGAAGCAGTAAAAGCTCCAAAGGTAATTTTTGGCCTAAGTTGTCAACCACTATGGGTATATGGCTATAAATTAGGTGTTGCCTGGTGACTTTTACAACTTATAGCTCTGTTTCCAAGAGACAGTTCAAGACTTAATGTTGAAGCCAACGGGCAGACAGGAGAGTGCATGTCCTGCTATAGAGCACTGTGCGGGTGCCTAAGAAAAGAGCATTTCAGTTTTACCTTGAAGGGCCCAGATTTTGACAGAGATGGGGAAGAGGTAGGAAAACTCCAAACAAAGAATTAAGAGATATTCTCTAATGTCTAAGTGTGGACATTGGATTAGATGACTACGGCATTGGGACTCTAGGGATCTAAACCCTCCTGTTGCTGACGGTCACACCAGAAGGCAGAGAGCAGCAGGAATTTGGTTAAAGTCACCTGAGGAGAGGGAGGTCTCTTCACTATCCCAACTCTGCCCCTTCCCCACTTGGAAGACCCTCTGTTCACAGATTCTGGGGCTTGTTGTCCTTGCTGCTTCTCACTGTCACCAACGCTTGCCTCCAGGTCACCAAACTGAGAAACATTGAATTCTCCATGACTCTCCTCTCTCAAACAGGCAGTCCCCAAGTCTCTTCCTTGAATCTAGTGTAGCTGCCCTGTGTCTCCGTCCCTCTGCTGCTTATCTATCCTAGGCCACCACCCCAGCTGGCCTGAATGACTGCGACCACTTGTGGAACATGAAGCCAAAGAGATCTTCCTAAAGTGCAAATCAGAGCCTATTACTGCCCTCGTTGGCTTCCTTCTGGCAATAGCCTGCATAGCTTGACAGGAGACGGGGTGAAGAAACAACCCGAGTCCTCAACCTTCCCTCCCCTTCTCCACATTTCTACTTCTGCAGAGACCTGGGGAAAAAATTGGCAAAATGGAGCTCTGGCATTCCATGAAATAACTGTAATGCTGGAAAGCAGTAGGAGGGTGCACAACCCTCCCTAAGTGTAGAAGGGAACTCCTTTCCTGCTGGAGAGAGAAGGAAAGGCATCAAAGAGAAAGAAGCTTTTGAGCTGGCCCTGAAAGATAAGCGTGTTTTGACAGACAGACAGGAGGAAGCAGCAGGATAACCAAGAACAATCCCATGTGCCGGCAGCAGGCACTTAGCTCCTGGAATGATAAATGGTTCCCCAGCACATCCCAGAGCTGCTGTGACCAGTGAGGGACATCTCAGGCTTTTCATTAGGCCAGGGCTCAGAATCCATCGGCAGCCGAAAGCCAGTTGGACATCATTTACTTCTCAACCAACGCGGCAGTAGACCAGATGCCCTAATTTATTTGTTGGTCTTCATATTAAAACTGCAGTTTGCCAGTAAACAGGCAGGGTAATGATGCCAGGTGCCCTTGTTAGGGGCTAATAATTGCTTAATCTGTCCACTAATTGACCCCAGCTCCCGGGGCAGCCCTCCATCAAGGAGCCAGCCTGCACTCAGGGCCTGGCCACGCTGCTTCAGAGAATGGCAGAGAATGGCTTCTGGAAATGGAGTAGCTCATTGTGATCCATCCTCCTTCACAGATGAGCAGATTAATTGGGCTGCCAATTAGGCAGCTAATAAAAGGATGAGAGAAGACAAAGCCAGGCCAGAAGCTGCAGCCATCCAGAGCTCTCTCTCCCATAGTGAGCATAGGGCAAGGAGAGCAGAGGTTTTAGACTCATCTCTTGGCTTGAGGTCAGATATAGTTCAACAGGAATAATTCCCATCGATCAGGAAATTGGGAGGAGAGCCTTGGCTTTTGTGTGTGTGTGGAAGGGGCCGCAGGTGGCTAGTGGAGAGGAATATGAGGAGAAATGCTGGAGAAAGTAAGAGTGGAGAGGAAATGCCACCCCTGGCCACAGGCCAAAAGCATCACACGGATTGAGGAGGCAGAAGTTCTTGGACACCTGCATTTGGACCCTAACTGGTTATAAACTGAAAATCTATTAGTTTTCTCTGCCCAGTTTTTCTCATCTTGATACAGGGACAATAATGTCCAGTCAGGAAGACTGCTGTGTGACTGGGTTAGAACACCTGTACTTGAACTGCCTGACACAGCACAGGGAAATTGCAAGGTGTTTTAATCAACTCCCTGAGATTGGAGATTGAGAGGCAACGAGGGTAGAAAAAGCAGAATGGAATTTGGAACTCAGAGTCGGTCTGTGAAGTTTGCTAGCTATGAGCTTTGGGAACAAGGGTGTTGAATTGAAGAAGCCAACGAACCAGCCATCCGAGAACCTGGGTTCTAGTTGTGGCTCAGTTACTCCGTGGGCTTTAGAAAGACTCCAGCCTTCTCCCATCGTTAAAGTTAGGGGAAAGAAATCAGTAATTCCCAAGGACACATTCCACACTGGCAGTCTGGGCTTCCATCTTTTTCTTCCTCTCCTCCAAAGTAGTAGGATCTTCATCTATCAAGTGAGGAGAATAATCTCCCTCCTGCAAGGAGGCACAATCAACCTCCTGAGATCAGTCTCTGCTCCTTTGGTAAACAAGTTTGCTTGGTTCTTTCTTTTGAACCGAAACTATAGCCAGGTCAGAGAGATCCCTGCCTGGGCTGACCTCAGCCTGGTCATGATGAACATCACCAGGCAACCCCAACTAGGTATTCATTGTTATTTCTCCTAGTGTACTCGGTTCAGCAGGTGCCTAGTAAGTGCCCATTGATGGACTGGCCCCAGGAATTCATTTGACCTTGACAGAGTATAGGGTTAACTGAACTGAAAAGCGTTAATCCTTTTTTTTTTTTTAAGATTTTATTTATTTATTCATGAGAGACACAGAGAGAGGCAGAGATACAGGCAGAGGGAGAAGCAGGCTCCCTATGGGAAGCCCGATGCGGGACTCCATCCTGGGACCCTGGGATCACAACCTGAGCCAAAGGCAGACACTCAACCACTGAGCCACCCAGGTGCCCCCAAATCACTCCTTCTACAAACATTCACAGGGCCAGGTCCACACCATACACCCGGCATTCTGAAATACGTAAGTGGTTCCTGCCCTAGAATGTCTATGGTGGGAAAGCAACTTCCACTGGAGCAACTGGCTCAGGGGGCAACAGCCCAGGGAGCCAGGAGAACCCAGAGGGCCTGGGAGGGGCTGCGGAGAATGGAGATGTGAAGGATGAATGGAGTGAGCCCGACGAAGGGATGCCAAGAGCAGGTAGGTGTTCCAGGAAGGGGGATTCCACACAAAGCCTGGAAAGCAATGAAGAAGAAGGCCCGTCTGGTAGTGAAGAGCTCTTCAATTCGGGGACATAGCTTCGTGATTAAAGGCACAGACTCTGCAACTGGACTACCTGGGTTTGAACGGCCGTGTGGCCTAACCTCTTGGCTCCACCTCAGTTGAGAAGGGAAGACTAAAACAACCCCTGGAAGTCGTTGTGAGGATCTCAGTGAGTTGGTAGAAGCAAAGTGGCACGTGGGAAATGGACATGAAGGGGTGGGGACAAGAGGATGTTGAGAGAGAAGGGGAACAGCTAGATGGGGACCTGCCAGGCAGCAGAAGAATATAAAGGGCACAGGAGACCACTGCCCAGTACAGGGGCAGATCTGGGCTCTCCTGACTACAGCAGGGAATGTGGTTTGGGAGGAGGGAGTAACAGAGGGCCCGGTGTCCTGGGGGTGGACAGGATGGGGTTGGGGGGGCAGACAGAGCAGAGGGCCAGAGAACAGAAAGAGGCTTACAGTCAGGAACCAGGTCTGACACCTGCAGCCGACCAAGGCCCAGAAAGTCATGAGGATGTGCAGGTGCCAGGGAAGCAGTGTGGATGGGTGGTGACACTGACGATGACATTATTTGTCTACCATCCCCAAGAGCATCACAACTCTTCACTGAAATGACACGATCCTGGGGAAAGCTGATCCCTGAATGATGGAGAAGTTTCCGGTCCTTGGCACAATGGGGCCTCAAAATGGAAAGTAAGCTCAGTTATGGAAAAGTAGGGAAAGTTCTGTTTCCTGTGCCCAGAGGCTTGGGGATTGAGGCTTGCATCTGCCGTTCAAATCTTTCTTCCCTCCAGACTATGAACCTTGGGAGGCAAGGACAGGTCTACATCTCTGTCACCATCTTGTCAGCGTGTGGCTCAGAGCCAGGCTAAGGGAACATCCTCAGTAGGTACGTGTGACATGAATGAGTAAAGATGGACCAGTGATGTATGTTCATTAGCTGGGTGACCTGTCATCTCACTGGCTCCATGTACAGATAGAAAAACAAAGTCAGGGTGGCGACATCATTTGCTGAACGTCTCACAAGGGCCTAGGTGGGACTCAGATCCAGTTCTACTGGCTTCAAAGTGGTGCCTTTTCCATTTAGGCAATACAGAGAGTCAGGAGTCTATTTGCATGTGATTTGTAGAACGATTTGCATATATGCCTGCATGATTTTCTCTCCAGAGAGTTCTGTGTGAGGTTTATTGTTGTTGCCTCGACCAAGAGGCAATATGTTGCAGTGGGAAGAGCCCCGGCTTTAAGCAAGGCAGTTGGGGGTCTCTGCTGGACCCAGAGTGGGGGTCACATGACAACAGCCACTGTAGGCCTTCCCCTGACCCGGCCCCTATCTGCCTGGAGCCGAGCCCAAGGGCCTCAATTTATGGAATCACAGGGATTCTGGTCCTGAAGAACCTGAAGCTCACAGTCATGGTTCTTACCCTTCCGCCTCCCACCCTGACTGTTTCACAGATGAAAAGACTCAGGGAAGTGAAAAGCCCATGACAACCCCTTAGTGGGCTGGTGTTAAACACTTATAATGGGTGGCTGTAAGGGACAGAGAGAGAGAGAGAGAGAGAGAGAAGAAGAAGAAGAGAGAGATTAGGTGAGGGATTAGAGGTGGGAGGAAAGCAGTGGGGGAGGGGAGGGAGGAAGGGGCAAAGGTCACCACTTTGTTGTAGGAAACCTTCAGTTGTGCTTGGTCCTGGTGGTTGTGAGTGCATGGTGTGTGTGTGTGTGTGTGTGTGTGTGTGTGTGTGTGGCCCCTCCCCTCATCTGCCCAGGGTAACCCTGTGGAGTGAGCTCCCTGAGGGAAGGCCAGCTCCGTCTCCATTGTCTAGGCCCTAGTGGGCACGTTGGCAAGTGGCAGCAAGGCTCACTTAACCCCACAGCAGCCCCTTGAGGACTGTATTGCTGCCCCCATCCTGCAGGTAAAGACACAGAGGCTCTGAGAGTTGGGGACTGGCCAAAGATCTCAACCAGGAGTGGAGTGGTAGGACTCACACTGAGGCCCTGGCTCTGCCTACCTCCTCACACGGCCCTCCAGAGGCTGGCGTGCCTTGCCTGCACTAGCGGGCCTAAGTGCTGATTTGATTGATTGGATTACAAAGGATCTGCAGAGGACAAGTGTTCTGCAAATGGCACTTTTCAGTGAGAGTTGTCCCAACAGCCCCAGCTTCAGTGAAAGAACATTCACCCGACCAGAAATCAGATACCTGAGGTCTAGTCCTGGCCAAAGCTCTGGCCTGCAACCCAGTCCTCCAGGTGCAGAAGTGAGGCGGGTTCCGCTAACGGCTCTCTCAGGAAAGCAGCATGGAAGGAGGTGGGCTGGGGTGCACGGCACAGAAGCCACACACCCAGGTTTGGGGACCCTGTAGGGTCAGGGGAACTGTACCTGACACCCACTAGGTGCTCCATAGGAACACTTATTTAGCGCTTCCTGTATTCCAGACACTGTCCTAAATGTCATTTAATCTTCACAAGAACCCTATGAGGCAGGGTTTCTATTGTCACTTCCCCTTTCAAGATAAAGGAACTGAGGCATAGAGAGGTTATGAAATGTCCCCAAGGTCACACCGCACTACATGGGGGAGCTGGGATTCAGTGTCAGGCTGGCTGGCTCCAGAGAACGTGCTCACACACGCTCTGCTACAGGGCAGCTCCGGAGCTCCCTTGACCTTTCACATCATGGCTGGAGGAAGAGGATAGTTTGGCCTCACAGAGGCCACGAGTGGGCTTTGGGGCAGCCGAGGGGTTACTGAGAATCAGCCATCCAATTGCCAAGCAGAGCCTTGAGGAAATCAAAGTCTTGCCACCTTTACAGCCGCCCCTCCAGAGTTCTGTGATGACACGATGTCGCTCTGCTCCCAGCAGCAGGTGCATCAGCAGCCCAGCTGTGAGGACCGTGCTCCCAGCCAGATGGGGAGGACCAGGCCCCACATGTCTGTTCCCTGCTCAAGGTCACTGAGCCAGTTAATGCGCAAGAAGCATTACTGAGCTGAAGGTATCTCAGCCGTCCTTCTAGGCCCTGGACCCTGCTGCTTTTTCCAGGACAAGGTGGGCTGGGGAGGGGATCCAGCCCAGCCCTCTGGGACTGTGGTCTGGCCTGTCTCCAGGGGGCTGAGACACCCCCGGGGAGACTGTGCCTCAGTCTCTCATTGGCAAAGTAGGGGAATGATGAGTCTGAAGCTGCCTTGAGAAAGGACAAATTGTGGCTCCAGGGACAGTAACAGAGATAGGGAAGGAGGAAGACCAGGGTCAGAGACGAGGCCCAGGCCACATCAGCCAGGAATTCACCGTGATCCTGGGTAAGCCACTTCACTTTCGCTAGCCTCCCCACTCCTGTCTATAAAGGCACATCAATGGTTGTGGGGTGCCCAGAGTGCCGTGCTCTTCTAGGCACCAAGCTTGGCCTTCTAGCACTTCCCACTCCTGAGTGGGGCAAGAGAACATGTCCAGGCTTGAGAAACTCAGACTCAAAGCCCTCTTCTGCTTTTTACTGGCTGTATGACCTTAAGGCCCCTTTTTCTGAGCTCAGATTTAGAATCCCAGAACCAACACGGCATTTGTTCCTCACAACAGACCCATGGGATGAACAAGATAATCCCCATTTTCCAGATGTAGAAAAGGGCACAAAGGACACTCAGAGATCCAGCCCTAGGCCTCAACTAGCTCATGGTTTAAAGGGAAGCAACAAATATAAATCAAATATATAACAAATCAGGGTGGTAGCGATGGTCATGGGTAATCACACTGCAGGTGCAAAGCAGAGACTGAAGGGAGTGGGACGGGGGCCCACAGCAGGTACTCGAACACTGGGAGATGGGAGGTGTTTGCCAGGTGGCATGGGGTGGGCAGAGGAGCAACAGATGCAAAGGTCCGTTGGTGGGAAGAAGGTTGTCTGTTCAGGGTTAAGTTGTGTGGGGCAGGGATATAACGAGGCTTAGGCCAGAGAACCTGGCAAGAGCCAGACGGGGGAGGGCTGGGAATGTCACGGCAAGGAGTCGGGAGTTTATCTTGAGAAGGGAGAGGGAAGGCATCGAAAGGCTCTGCCAAGGAGTAAACACTGATGGAAAGGCTACGGGATAGCATGGCCTGTATCGGCACCGTCTAGATTCCTTCCTAGAAAAGCTGGCTCAAAAGAGAAAGCGTTGGAGCTGCACTCCACTTCTGTATGTCTCAGGCCTCGTCTAACGTGGGATGATGACCAGGCCCTCTGCTGCCCGCAGAGGAGGTGGGCCTGGGTGTTTGGGCTCCCAGAGCTGAAAGTTTTGATGATAAGGCTCCTGTCTTTTTACAAACAAGGACAAAATAGTTGCATCCTATCAGCTGGGGGAACAGGTCTGCTGCCAAGTTTAGTAACTGACGGATGGCTGCAGTAGAAGGGTTGGTAAAACCAGGAGGGACCTGGGCGAGGTTACTGCAAGGACAGTACTGGAGGGAAGAGGATGGAAGTGAGAAGGCCAAGGAGTAAGCTGGGGTGACGGCAGCAGGGAGGTGGGCCACCAGCCTCTTGGGTGTGGCTCCCACTCGCTGTCCCTGACATGCTCTCAGGGCTGCTGGCCCCAGAGACGGGGGAGGCAATGGTGCCTAACCACAGCACCGTGGGAATAGAAGACGCACGCTGATTTGCCGAGTGCCTGAGAGTCTACAAGGCAGATGACCCGCAGCCTCTTCTCAGAGCGCCGCCCCCAACTCTCAGGGGTGACATCCATCCTGAGTGTCTGCTGAGTGCCAGGCATGGGGCTGGGTGTGTGTTTGCACTCATCTGACACCAGTTTTGTGGCGGCCTGTGCAAAGAGGTGTTGCTATCTTAATTTATTTTACATTTAAGGAAACTGAAATGATGCTGCTAGGAAGTGGGAAAGCCAATGTTTGACCCCAAGATGGTCTCATGGCAAATTGCTAGATACTTCCACGGCAGCCCACGGCCTCCCTCAAGTGATATAATTTATATATATATATTTTAATCTCCCTTTGACCTTAAGGTCTTTTTGAGACTAAATTGAGAGAAATTACTGAACTTCTTCAAACTTACATAATTATATGTAAAAATATAGTTAATATTAATTCCTATGACATAGAAAAGTTAATATAGTTAAAAGGCATTACATTAAATTAATGAAAATAAATAAGTAAAATAAAAGAGGTAGAGTGCTTAGAACAGCGCTTGGCACATAGTATCACATATTTTATATGCGATATACCCACTAGATAGGTAAAAATGCAAATGTATTGTTGAGAACGTGGGACAGTAGGAACTCTCATACATTGCTGGTGGCAGCATAAAGGTCTCAGAGAGAAACTTGGAGATATCTAGTACAGTTGAAGATGCACATATCCTGTAATCTGTCAACTGCCCTAGAAAAGCAATTGCACAGGCACAAGGCAACAGATAGAAGGGCATCTGTGACAGCTTTGTTTTAAGGACAAACACTGTCAACAGCTGAATTGTCCAGGAGAACAGGCAGGTAAGTTGAGGTGCCCGACACACATGGCACAAAGTACACGGCGGAAAGACGTGAACTATAGCCACACTCATCACCTCGGACATTGGGTGAAAAGTGCCAGTGAACACAGAATAATAGTTTCCTAACTATAAGAAGTTCAAAGACGTGCAGAACGAAGCCCTAGACTGTTTACGAATGCTGACGCGGATGGCAAAACTATTGAGAAAGACGATGAAATCCAAACTTACAGCTCTCTGTGGGAGGACAAAAGTAGAAGGGAGGATGAGCTTAAAAGGAATGGATAATATTCTGCTTCTGAAGTTGGTGAGCACCAATTCATTAAATTATTATTTATAGTTATTTATTGAATATACCTATATTGCTCATTAATTGAATGTATATGTATGCATATATATGTTGTTGATTAAACGTATATTTTACATGGATTAAATACTTAATAATAAATGAAAAGCAACTATAGAGAGATACATTTGAGATGAAAAAATTATGTCTTATTTACCTCTGGTTGTCTGACACAAGGCCTGTTTCCTGGCTCACAGTAGGTGTTTCTAAAGTTACTTGTAAGTGAATGACTGAATAAATGAGTGAATAGATAGCTTCTAATCCTTATCTCCCCACTTTATCACACACCTACCAACATACACATTGGCCTAGGGCCAGATTTCTTACTTTTGTAAACCACTAGAGACAAGAAAAATCATGCTAGGAAGTGTGGATGACGCTGTATGGCTCCTCCTCAACATAGCACATACAAAAGAACTCCACTCAGGCCTACCTATCCATCCATCCATCCATCCATCCATCCATCCATCCACCCTCCACACACACATGCAGTTAGTAAACATTTATTGAAAGAAATACTCATGGAAATCAGGTGTAACCTCTTTAAAAATGAAGTAAATGTGCATCCACAATAAGGACTCTGCTCATGACCACACTGTTCCTGAGGCCATCACAGTGCTCCAGCTGGATATGGGGGTAGGCACAGGATGCCCATGGGATTTTGTCACTCACCTTGGCACACAAATGAAGAGGGTGTTTCCCCTGGGTGGACTCGTCCTGTGATGAATACCACCTTCTTCTCTGCCCCTTCCCGAAGGTTGTCTGTAAGAGAAAATACAAAGAGATTGCTCAGGAGGACAGGGAAAGCTGAGACTGGGAGTTGGTATGTGGGAGAGAGGCGCAGGGAACAGACAGCGTGCTTTACATTCATTCCTTAACTCAATGGGTTAGAATCATCAAGGCCCAGCCATTGCTGACTAATTAAACTATGTCCCGGACAACCCAATAGTAAAAGACTACATTCCTGTTGGTACAATTGATCATGTTAATATTACAATCATCTGAAGATGTCGTATCGTGAAGACCAATCCAGATCCACTGGCTGTGACCCAAGGCAAGTTGGGTATCCTCTCTGAGTTTTGATTTGCTAATCTATAGATGTAGAGAGTACTAGTGATTAAAGCTTGTTAGCTTACATATTGCCTACCACACAGGAAACACTCAGTAAATAATGGAGGAAAGGAAGTAGCTGTTTCCATTAGTCATAGCAGCAGCTGCCATTTAATCGTACCTTTTGTATCAGGCATATTCTATACATTATTTATAGTTCTACAGAAACATGCACATTCCTTTGACAGAGGCAGAAGGTTCAAAGTCACACAGCTAATAGGTGTGGGTCAAGCTGAGATTAGAACCCAAGCCCTCGTTTGGCTTTGACGAAGTAACAGGGACCAGATTTCTCTTTCAACTTAAACAACTAAAAAATTGGACAAACATACAAAACGACTGTTCTCAGACAGGAGGCAGTGCAGGATTAATATATGAAAAAAGGGACACAAATGAAGTGTGCCCTCTGACTGCCTGGGCTCTTTGCCTGGAGGCCCATTCCAGACCAAAGAGCAGAGAGGGGTATCCTTAGCAGAACATGGAAATCTCACTGAGATTAAACTTCAGAGTCTGTAGCAGGTCGTAGCTGGGGGGAAACTCTATACATTTCAGAGCAGATGGAGCTCTATGGAAAAAGAATCCCACCAATGTCAGGACTCCTCAAGAGTGTTTACGGGGTCCCAAGATGCACGGCACCTAAAAGGGCGAATCTCCATCATGTGTCATGAGAAAATGACCAGGGAACTGTGAACTGTACAGCTGTCAGGGCTCACACAGGGCCCAGAATCATTGGAATTCCCACCACCAAAGTGGTAGTCCTCACTGATCATTCAGGGCATTCAGGAGAGAACCCAGAAGGGCCATGTCTTAGTGGTGGGGCTAAGCTACTCTAGATTCATACTAACAAAATTTTAAAATCATGCAAGTATCAAACTGGACAAAAGAAGCTTCACTGTCTGCCATATAAAGTGCAACTCTCTTTAAGGAAAGACAACAAAATCCAGACACTCAACGATGCGCAATTCACAATCTCCAGTATCCAATAAAAATCATTAGACATGCAAAGAAGTAGGAAAATATGGTCCAAAATCAGAACCCGAGCTCTTATTGCTTCTACAGAAGTCTCATTCATATAATAAAGTTCAGCTATGGTGCAAAGAGATTATTAGACAAAAGCAGTGGTCAAGAGTAACATTCCCAGAAGGAATGGGCAGGAGGGTATTTAGTTCCTGGCAGAGGAAGGCTGGATTGACCCAGAACAGACCCATGATCTGAAGGACATTCAGAAATCACCACTGAGAGAAGTTGGGTCAAAGAATATCGTCTATGTTAGAGGATGACCTGGAGGGAGTGGGGAGGTAGAAATAATTAACAGGCTTTTTGCTTCTGAAATGCTAGGGACAGGTTATTTGGAATGTGGTTTATGATCTTAACAATCAAAGCACCAATGTCAGAGACTAAAATAAAAAATGTACTAACTTTATTAAGTCTGACTCTAAAGGCTTGGGCCTTGCTTGGTCTATTGGGGTGACCAGTATTGAGGTTCCTGCTTCCCTAAGACTAGGTGTCTGAGAGGCAGCAAGAAGTACAATGGAGCCAAAATGAATTCCTCTTTTTTCTCCCAAAATACATTCTCAAGAACTCACCCTGCATTTAGCTCTGTGCTAGGTGCTTTAAGAAGAAAGGGAGAGAGAAGCTTATGGTTTAAAAGAGGAGTTAGACACCTGAATATCTCCTAGACTGAATATAAGCTCCTCCAGGGAGAAGCTGCAACTTTCATGGTTCTTTTTAAGGCCATTTCCAGGACCCTGTGTGGCATAGGTGCTCGGGAATTGGTATTGAATTAAAAAAGACTCATATAGATCATGGCTTATCTTACTTAGTCTTCATCATACCTCCGTGAAGTGGACAGTATCAACCCCATTTTATAGGTGGGGTTCACAAAAGGAAGGGACATGCCCAAGGTCACCTGGCTCTCCACCTAGGACCCCTCTCCCTAGCCTGTCTCCTCCTGGATCGACCAGCAACAATATCAGATCACGAGTCTGCTGCATTTCCGCCTACAATGTACACAGGAGAGTTCGGCTCCATCCTTTTCTGCTTTGAAGTTGAGCCACTGCCTTCATATTTATGTTGTTTTTTTTCACTTACAAAACAAAAAATGAAATGCCACCAAGCCCTTTTAAAAAACACTAACACTGACCCCATCTATCCCAGCAGTCCAGAAATGATAAATAGCATTACCAAGGCCCTCAGTGAACGCTACCTTTATGGATGTCTCCCCTGACCTGGTATCAACTCAATTGCATTCAGCATTTCTGCTGACCACGGAGAAATGCAAAATGGGCATTCTATTTGCACACTAATTTTACTGAGCCCCTGCGTCTTCATAAAATGATAACATGGGGCTAATAAAAATCAAGCATCTCGGGTGCTAATATAAGCAAATGTTGACGCAGGCAGGTAACAAATTGCTTTGTCATTTAGGAGGCCGTAAAAGAGCATTATAATCATCTTTAGGCAAAATGGATGGGTCGCCTTTGCTTAGCTTTTAGCTTTCATTTGCAAAATCAATTTAAGGTAATGTAGCAGCTCTGAGGTGGTGTGACACGGGACACCCCCTCCCCTTCTGTCACCGAATCTCCAGACTCGTGCAAAGCCAATTAAACATATTCTTGGAGGAGGCAGCGGGGATGATGGAGGAAGTGTGCTTGAACAAAGCCAGAGTGGAAAGCAGCTGAACAATGAGACCAAAAACAACCCGCAAGAGGTGATGAAACTGAAGGTTCATTGAGGGTGACACACTCAAGGGTACAAGGACACGCTCACGGGGGATGGGATAGCCACACCAGGCCCTCAGTTGACAGGTGTTTGAAGCCAAATGTGCTTTGTGTAACATCACAACACACATGTGCATGCACGTGCACGCATACACATGCACCCCTTTGCCGTCATATCCCTCTATCGTCCACTCTTTCCTTATTTCTAAAATATTTATCAAACACCTATTGGGTAGCCAGTTGTTATCCATTATTATCTTCATTTTACAGAAAAGCAAGGCCAAGAGACATTAAGTGACTTGCCTTAGTTCTCACAGCCCAGGGTTGGCAAAGGCCCCACCGGGGCAGCAGCCTGACTCACCTGTCTCCTTGAATCCCACACCACTCTGCTTCTGGGGAAGGAGGACAATAATGGTGGCCAGTTACAACAGCAACCAAGTACTATTTATTCAGTACTTACTCTGTGTCAGGCACTTTACACGTGTGACCTTAGTTAACTTTCATAGTGACCCAATGTAACGTCTACTATTCCTACCCTCATTTTACAGAATAGGAAATTGAGGTCTAGAAAAGTGATGAATGAACTCATGTATAAGTAACCTGTGGGGCCTGGATGAAACCCCAGGTCTTTATGAATCTCAAATGTATGCTCTTAACACCTGTTGGAGATTAAATAAAGTCCATGGGGTGGTTTCAAAAACACATCCACAAAATCTTTGTGAATCTCCTCCTCAGGTGGAGAGGAACCCACTTCCCTTCACTGTGGGCTGGACAGACAGGCTTGCTCTAGCAAATAGAATACCTTGGGGTGGAGGCATGTTATTTTTTTGAGATTAGGTTATAAAAAGACTGTGGCTTTCATCTTGGTTGCTGTCTTTCTCTCTTTCATCGCCCACACTGAGGAATCCAGCTGCTACAATGGGACACTCAGGTAGCCTGTGGAGAGGCCCATCTGGTGAGGAACCAAAGTACCAGGAACAGAGGCCAGCCAAGCCACGTGAGCATGCTTGGAAGGGTACCCTCCGTTCCAGGCGACTGCAGCCCTGGCCCCCTGCCTTCCTCCAACCTCCTGAGCCAGAGCCTCCCAGAGGAGTTGCTACTGCACTCCAGGCCCACAGAAACTGGGAGATTGTAAGTTGGTTTTCTTACACGCTGAGTTCTAGAGTAAGTTGTCAGGCAGCCAGAGACAAATAATCCCCCTGGAGATGGCTAAAGAAGTTCTGCATCTTACCTCCTGATGCCCCAACCTGAGTAAGACCAGGGCCATAACCGTGGTGTCAATGTGGAAGGAGAGCCTTAATCGATCAGGTCAGTTATCAGTGGACCTGCGGTTGGAGCTGCTACAAGATGCCAAGAGGCCCCAGAGAGCACTAGCTGGGCCCTCTGAGGACAAAAGTCTCCCAGAAGTTCACATGGCCAGTTCAGGTTCCCTATCTTCCCTGACAGTAATTCTGACAACAACTTGTCACAGGGAGTGAGTGTGGAGGAGGGAGGGGTGTGAGCTGGGAGGGGAATGTGCAATGTTACAACAGGAAAAGGATCCCCCACCCCCACCCCGAATGCAAGCCTTTGTCATTTTCTAGACTTCATGATCCCAGAAGACCATCATAAAGTCAAGAAAATACCTTCCTACTGGTTTCCAAACCAGGCCGGCTGCCTTGTTTTCTCTAACACTCCAGGGCCCAGGCGGGTCCACGCAACTGCTAAGGTGCAGAAATAGAAATCCACGGTTAGCTGCCTGTGCCTGAGGGCCCACCCAGGACTAGAGCGGCCTTGTCACTGGTCTCCCCATGCTGGCACGTCCTTGCCTCCATTCTTTGGCCCTGGCCACCACCGAAGTGCTCTTCCTGCAGCCATATGGGAGCGTCCCACTCGCCCAGCTCTGACCCTGTCCTCCAGGCCAGCCCAGCCTCCTCTGTGTGGCTCCCCTCATCT